TGCAGGCGAATTCTGCGTAGACGTGGAGCCAGTTTGGCTCTTCGGTTGTATCACCGGTGTCAAAAAGATACTGATGGTTGTTGGTGACAGGTTACTGGAGGAGGCACAAGTGAAAATGCTCTTTTTAGCTTTAGTCTTGTTGACTAATTCTTTCTTGCTGTCATCTCAGACCCTCGTACTCCCACCTGGCCTGCCTTTTCTTTCCAGTTACCTGCTCACTTTGTTCCTATTCCCCCATCTTGACTCTTTACTGTAGCTTCTACCGTCTGTCTCGTACTTTTGGTTCTCGTTTCTAAGAACTGTAGCTTGTTAGTGCAACTACTTTTCCCAGGCCACAGAAAGCTTCAGAGGAACTGAGAGCTCCTACCTGTGTTCCTACTTGAGGAAAGGTTTGGAGAGATTGTGTGTGGGCAAAGTTTCTCCCACTCCGCCAAAAAAGTCCCTTCAGAAATGTCAGTTAAATCAGACTCAAACATACGGCCTGCGGGGAAGACCTTTCCCCGAGTTAGAGTCGGATCAGGGCCACAAGATGAAAACGTTGCAGAGAAGAAGGTCACAACTTCAAACTTCTCGTTGTATTTGCAGAGAGCCATTAAGAAGGGAGGGATTGTCGGAGTCCGAGGTCTGGGTCGTCACAAGTTTTTAAAAAGTTTAAAGTCTACCAGCAAAATGTGACCTGGCGCTGCCACCACTGATCTTTAACTTTGAACACTTTGTTTCTTTGTAACGACATTCACTGACTGATGTGGGAAAACTGACACATGTTGGTAAGATTACTGATTTTTGATAAGACGCCTCGTGTTGTTGTTTTTTTAAATAGTGGTTCATTAAATGTGAAGGTTTCTCAGACGTACGTGTACTTTTTAAAAAAATATCTGCATGTCAATACAGCAGTGGAAAGTTTTATCTGTGCTGCTGCTATCAAATAACCACAAAAAAACAAAATGGAAAATTTTGCTTACAGGCGAAAACATTTATCAGATCAAAATTTTTTTATTTTGTATAAATTTTTCACCCATCAGCAGATTATTTGGTTTATTTGCTATATTTTGCAGTGCGATGAGGGCGCAAAATATAACGACTGAAGAGATCACTTTGACTGCACAGCGGGCTGGATGCAGACATCAAAACTATCTCCATGAGCAGAAGTCAGCACATTTGCATGGTTAATTTTTGTAAAAAAAACAACAACTGTAGCTTGTTAGGAAGACATTTAAACAAATTCAATATCACAGAAAAGTAATTATAGCTAAAAAATGAACTTTTCAGTCTCCGAAAAGCTCAGGTAAAGTACAAGTAGCTCAAAACTCCACCCTACATGGTTATTTTCTTTTTCTAAACTCTTCAGCCGGCTCACCTCCAGATTCCAGGTCTGCTTCACGTACTCCCTCAGCATGTTTTCTCTCAGACTGTCAAACACGCCTTGCTTGATCGGCGTATCCGGGGAGCGCAGACACGGCTTCTTCAGGAGGCACACCAGGCCGTCGGAGTCTTTGCTGTAAAACTCGCAGAGCTCTGCGGGGCCGCAGTGAGGCTTCCCTCCTGTGATGCAGTAAGTCCCGTTAAGCTGTTTCTCGACGGAGTAATGGTGGAACTCCAGGTTCCACACGATAGACAAGACGTAGCCGCCCAGACTGCGGAGACACTGTCGCAGCAAGAAGAGGCAGTCGGACATCCCGGCCAGCTTCAGGTGCTGCTCGGCCTCCGAGCGACTGATGCTGCCG